ACTGTGAGAGGCTGAGGGATGACAGAAAGGAAGGAGAACCAGATGTTTCTCTTGATGCTTCCTGCAGTGGTTCCTGCAGCATCTGCATCTTGGCTAATTCTCTTATAAAATTAAAAAAAAAATCTCTGCCTCATGTGTGAATTCCTCTGACCCCCGATTTTGGGAAAGTTCCTCTGGCTACCCCACCCCCTCACACCGTCTTCCCACTTGTCATGCATCAACCCCCTTCCGCTCTTGACTTCATGTGATGGTTGATCGTCACTGCCAACTTTATTGAATTTAAAAACCACCTAGGACATCCGTGAGGTGCTCTTGTAGATGATTTTGTGCTAGGGCGTTTCCCCAAATGGCTAACTGAGAGAAAGACTCGTGGTGAATGCGGGCAGCACCATCCAGCGGGCAGGAGGTCTGGACAGAACAGGGCGGGGCTAGTCACCTGAATCCCAGCATTCCCCCCAGCCTCACTTCCTGTCACCATGATGTGAGCAGCCTCGTCTGCCGCATTCCCGCTGTCAGCGATGACGGAACCCTGAGAAATCAAGAGCCAAAGCAAAAATTTCCTTCCTTATGGAAATTTCCTGTTAAGTATTTTGTCACAGCACTGAGGAAAATGACTCGGGGAACCTCCCAATCAGGGGCTGGGCCCTCAGGTCTTCCCTTACTTTAGATAATAATGTCCCTTTATCAAGTGGCCTCTATTTGGAAGACCCAGAGCCATTACCCTTTCCTGGAAGATCTCAACTGCAGGAGATGTCATCCGCTAAATTACTTCTTTTCTTCTAACAGACATTTGTGCCTCATCCCTTCCTCAAAATATTCCTCCTTCTCACCCCTTTGTTTTCTTCGCACTCCTGCTGAATTTCACTTCTTTGGGGGCATTTTGCCTTTCCACTCAAATCCCTATTTTCATCTGAAAGTTAACAGGCACCGTTTGATGTATTGTTCAGGATGCATGATTCGAAGTCACGGAATGAAATTAAAAGTCTTAATTGGCATTCTTTCCTCTTCCCTGCTGTCTGAGTCATCTACTTTTCCTAGTGTTCCTTCTCTCTCTCTCTTTGACTCTCAGGCCACCTGCTGGGGGTGACCTGCCTGGCTTTTATGTGCTGCTTCTGATACTATTGGCTTGAAGCCACGGAGACAGCTCATGATCCCTGCCTTATTCTCAATCATTTTGACAAAAGGCAGAAATGGGGCCTCATTAGCAAGAGCAAACAATGCGTCCATCTGGCCAACCAAGTTTCTCAATTCTTAGCACAGCTGTTGTCTTACCGATGCTTTAAAGTTGTTACTAACAGGGGAATGCAAGGTAAGACACCAAGGTCTGATGTATCATTGTCAGGAGGTCCAGGCTCTTCATCAACTGTGTGCTGAGAGGCAGGGGACCACTTTCAAAATAAGAGCTGGGGAGATAATCTCTAAGAGTCCATGAACAGAAACTGTAACTGTAAGGAAAATATGGTATATGGTTTTTAAAAAACAATTTCTTGGTGATTTATTTATTTATTTATTTATTTATTTGTCCTTGAGAACAAAAGAGATGTTCAGGAGCCCTGGAAAACACATGTTCTCTGCTCCTTGTCTCACCGAAATACTCCCATCTATGTCACTCTTCCTGTTCTCACCCATGGAGAGGTAAAGTAGGTACTGCCGATTCTCTCTCACAGGTAATGTGCTTGAGATGGAAGGATTAGCATAGCTAAGATCACACACACCTTCTATTATGTTATTTTTTTTGGTTTCCATTAAGCATGGAGCCCCTATAAAAGTTCCCAATGCGTGGACTTGAAAAAGCCATGTTTCCATGGAATCTGCACTGGCCTTCCTTCCTCAAGCCCTGCCCACTTAATCTCTGATGTCAGCTGGTTGGCACCTAGACCGGTTACTACAGCCAGTGAAAGAGCTTTGACCCTATCATCAGCAAAAATCACAGTCTAACACTACTCCTGTGTTTGCTGAATATGCATCAAGAAAAGGGTTTAAAATAAATGACCAAACTCTGATTTAGAGAGAGACGAACACACACTAACACACACACACACACACACACACACACACACACACACACACACACACGCACGCACGCACGCACGCATGCACGCGCACACACACACACACACACAGTGTACTGACCAGTTACACGGAACCGTACAAACCATTACACTGAAATACACCTGCAGTCTTGTACCAAACCAAGTTGGCTGTAGATGGTATGTGGTTTGGTTGATCTTTTTCCTCTTCTGTTCTCCAACATTTGCAATGATCCCTGAGGCCATCATTAAGATGCCATCAGCAATGGGTCAGGGGGGTGGCTGATGAGGATCCAGACATTTGCCAAGCATCCTAGCATCTCTCCTAGACCCTATGGGGAAGTTTTAGAGTTAGGGGATCATAATATTTTCAACACACCTTCAAATGGTACAGAAAAGTGTAAATAGTATAGAAAGTCCGTGTGTGCAAATGCATGTATTTCATATCATCTGTCTAAATTTGTGCACATGTACACATATATGTATGGATAATTGTTATCTGTGTGGCCAGTATATAGCCATACAGCTATAAGAAATAAAATAGTAGATAGATGTTGAAACAAATGGAACAAATGTAACATTTAGACAAACAGAATATGAGAATCGTCTGTTCTCTTCTCATAGACTTGCTTGAGAGTACATCAGAAAAAGAAACAGAAAATGCTGGAAATCAAAATGGCCATGTGTTCCATCTCAGTGCAAAGGGAAAGAAATGCTCTATTTCCTGAAGTGACCAGCTGGAATTCCATTTCCTGGTCCTTCATTACCTTTGTGCATTTTTAGAGCTAAAATTCTATTTCACTTTTTTCTTTATTTCATGTTTGCTATCGTGTCGCTTCAGGGACGGGGAGACATTGGCAAGTTTTAGGAGCACATCCTCAGGAAACGGGGAGATGGTCGTTTCCAAAAATGGCCATGAATTCCACCCTTCAAGCTGGTCTCACATAGTGGGAATTTGTTTGAAAATGACTTGCTTCTCAGGCTTCTTGCATATCCCATGTGACATTTTAGCATGGAAACACTCAGGGTGGGTGGATTGTAAAATATTTCCCCAAATTACAAAATATTTGAAAGCTGATACCAGACTTACCCTCTTATCTGTTGATTGCAGATAGTTGGGAGCTATTTTGGTACGCCTGTGGGTGCAGTCTGAGTAGTGTCCACTCCCTGGGCCTTCTTAAACAGAAGAGTCCTGGAGTACAGAGTGGGGGACACAGCCGACCCATGAGCAGATCATCTAGAAGCTCCAGAAAAGAAGCTGATGGGAAGACAGGCCAGAGAAGTTTGACCCCTCCTCCCAAATGGGCTGTGGATTATTTCCAGCACTTTGCAAAGTCTAACACCTCTTCAAGTGTTATCTGGCTTAATCCCCTTAAAAGCTCCATGAGATAAATACTATTTTTATGCACATTTTGTGGCTCAGATACCTGAAGCTTAGGGAGGCAGCTTGCCACATGTGTGTGGTGGTTACCAAGCTTGGGCTGCCCTCTACCTTATGACAAGTCCATCTCTCCACCCGGCTTCTCTCTCCTGGGGACTCAAGAGGCAACAGCTGAAACACACCCTGCATGCCCAGTTTGTTGTATACCCTAGTTTAGAAATAAAAAAGCCAATAGCAGCCCATACTTTTCTGAACCCACTGATACCTTTACCAGGCTGCAGGGCCATCATGTTTGACTCTCATGGTCTCTTCTTTCTGAAGCTGCTGAGATGAGACCTCCAGTGAACTCTGACTGCAAAATTGGTACTCAGTGGATGCAACTGAAAGAGCTGGTGTGGGATCCATGAGAAGCTAGATGAGTGTGGTGGTTTGTGAAGACGGGGTTTCTGTCCCACCTGGTCCCACAGCCACTTAGCCCCAAATAAACAAACAGAGACCTATAATAATTATAAAGTGTCTGATGGCTCAGGCTTCTTATTAGCTAGCTCTCTCTTAATTATTAACCCATTTCTATTAAACTGTGTATCTCCATGTGGTTTTGGTTTTTCGGAGAATGCTCTAGCATCTTACTTTTTCAGCCACTACATGGCATTACCCAGGCAGTGCCTCTCTGCCTTCCTCTCCCCAGAATTCTCCTGGTCTGGTAACCCTGCCTACACCTCCTGCCTGGCTACTGAACAATCAGTGTTTTATTCAACAACCAACAAGCAAAACATATATATATATATATATCATAGAGAGTGGCACTGTTAGGAGGTGTGGCCTTGTTTAAGTAGGTGTGGCCTTGTTGGAAGAAGTGTGTCATGTGGGGGCGGGCTTTGAGGTTTCTTTTACTCAAGCTTCTCTCTCAGTGTAACATAGTCCACTTCCTGTTGCCTTCTGATCAAGATATAGCCAGCACCGTGTCTGCCTGCATGCCACCATGCTCTCCCACCATGATGACAATGGACTGAACCTCTGAACTGTAAGCTGCCAACACATCTAAATGTTTTCCTTTATAAGAGATGCTAGAAGCTGGGCAGTGGTGGTGCACGCCTCTAATCCCAGCACTCGGGAGGCAGAGGCAGGTGGATCTCTGTGAGTTTTGAGATCAGCCTGGTCTACAAGAGCTAGTTCCAGGACAACCTCCAAAGCCACAGAGAAACCCTGTCTCGAAAACACTCACCCAAACAAAAGAGTTTCTAGAATCATGGTGTCTCTTCACAGCAATAGAAACCCTGGGTAAAACAACAAGGAAAGACAAAGCTCTTCAGTGGGTTCTGAATCTGAAGTCTTGATTTACTCAGGAGCCCGTGGACAGTTTCTAAGGGAGCATGCTCTGTTCCTGCTAACCTCTCATGACTTATAGTGTGCTCTGCACTGTGGATGCTGAAAATCATTCCAGTGTTGTTAGCAAACCTGTGACTTTGTCGCCAAGAAAAATCTATTAATTTCAATCATAACTGATGCTACCTTAAAATGTCACTTATACTTCCCTTGAAGATAAAATTAATGGTAGCTGTTAAATTCAAACCTAGATTTCCATTTAAGAAGCTAATAAAGACACAATTGCTAAGTTGCATTTTAAAATTATTTTTACCATTATGTCAGTTTATTACCATTAAACAATGGATGTAATAGTGATATTTCAACATAGCTAGTGCTGTCTGTAATTATACATAATATATCCTGTAAAATATTATTATTATAATATAAAATATTATTATGGTATTTCAACATACTGGTTTATTTGTAATTATGCATGTCACACATATTATAAAATATTACTGGGAATATGAGTCACAGGCTCTGTAAAAATGACCCACAGCACAAAAGTAGTTGAGGATTCTATAGCAAAGACCACATTGTTTTTTTTTTTGTTTGTTTTTTTGTTTTTTGTTTTTTTGTGAGGGGTGGACATTCTGGCTTAACACAAGCTGCTTCAAGAGCCCCCTGAGAGCTCTATAGTACAAAACATTTGAAATCCCAGATGAAGGTAGCAGATAGATAATGATCACACATCCAGGTATTTCCCAGCCACAAGAAGGAAGACACCATCACAGTGCCCACCTCCTTCTGGGTCCCAGTTTCTTCCCACCCCCAGTGCCTCCTCTCCTGCCTACTCAGTTTTAATGCAGGTATGTCTTCTGAAGCCCAATGAGATCCAGTGTTGTGGAAGCCGGGCCTGTGTTAGCAGGCCCAGTGGGTGGATGGAAGCCAAGACTTTTGTGATTCTCTCTGCCCTAGTTTTCCTGTGGAAACAGCTCAGGAGGCCTTTGCTGGAGGGTTGATCCACCAAGTTTATCTACTCACTTTACTGGAGACTCATGTCCTTCTGTGTGACGTTTTCTCCAATTTCACCGGTTGTAATCATTTATTGTGCAACAGGCAGAGTTTGGTCGAATCTCCACAGGTTGCTCCAGGTGTATGTATATTTTTTCTGATAGCTCTGACACATTATAAATACTTACTGGGAGCGGAGAGACCACAAGCTGCACAGATGGTGTTTATAAACACAACTTCCAAGGATCGTTGGGGTAACTGCTAACTGTTGTTTACACTGTCTGACAGGGGACCGATGAACTGCCCCATGTTCAAAGGAGCAGAAGCCTTTCTGTGCTCTGGAACCACCAGTAAATGACCGTGACAGCTGTTTGTAATTCCCCTGTGGTGGTTTTTTTTTTTTCTTTTTTTTTTTTCTTTTGACCAAATTATTAACTAGGCTACAGGGCTATTTGGCCAAAAGACATCGCTGAACTCTGAATCTTTTCTGATGATCAGGTTCCCCTTCATTCTACTTTGATTTATGTTCAAAGCAAAATGTACTTGGCTTCATAATGGACTGTGTGAGTGTTTATAACAGATTCTCCGTCCTGGTTGCTTTGGTCTGGCAAAATTTGGAACTGGCCTCACATAGATGGCCACATGGAGTGGACCAGGTGGTCGGGTACAAAGGCAGTCTGGGCAAAGCTGCTGTTCTCCTTGGAGTGCCAAGGAGACATGGTGACCAAATTGCAACCTCAAAGATACATATTAAGAAGAGAATCTGCATGTAGTCCTAGCACAGCCATCACAAAGAACCATGAGCTAGGTAGCTTAAAAAATCAGAAATGTATCCCCCTGTAGAGCTGGAGGCAAGACTTCCAGAATCAGGTGCCAGCACTTGTTTTCTTCCAGAGATGAAGGGAGAATCTGTGCTATGTTTCTTTGCTGGCTTCTGATAACCCTGAGTGCACCCTGGCTTTGGGCTTTTAGATGGTATTCCACCCATGCCTATCTTATTAATTTCTTCCATTTGTCCATTTTTGCATATGTTCATACATGCACATTGCATAGGCACATTGTGCATGAGCCTGGAGGCCAGAAGAGCCACTGGGCATCTTTTCTACCACCCCCTTCCGGTTCTTTGGAGGAAGGGTCTATTCTTGAACTTGGGGTGCACATTTTTGTCCTCAGCTCTGCTGGCAACCAGTAAACCCAGCTATCCTATGTCCACCTCTTGAAACTGGTGTTATGAGCACCCAGGGTGTTTACAAAGATGCTTCGTCAAAACTCCGGTCCTCATGATGCCGTAGCAAGTGCCCTGAAGTCCTGAGCCACCATTCTAGCCTTCTGTTTATGTCTGAGCATCGTCTCTTCTGTATGCTTCTGTTCCTCTGACCGAATTCCCCCTTTGGAAGAGCACAGTCGTAATTGATAACAGCCCACAAAGCCATCTTAACTCGGTCGAGTCTGCAAAGGTTCTGTTTCTAGATAAGGTTACATTCATGGGGGTGAAGACTACGCTGGGGAGGATACAATCCAACCTGGAACATTATCCACCTTGAAAAATTCCCAAAGATTTTTGTAGCTGGTAGTGGAGTACGTAGGCTCAAATAGTTTGCATTTAGTGCATATTTTATTCTAGATGCCTTATCTTGGTAAGGAGATTCTGAAAGTATCAAATTATAGACCTCTTTTTCTCCCATAAATTATAAATGTCCTTTAATCCCACATATTCCAGGGACTGTTTTTTTTTTTCTAGTTCTTCCTAGAACTTGTTGGCATTTTTCTGAATGCTATTGTTTCCCTTTCTTTTGTAAACTTTAGAATCTCTCTTGCTCTTTAAACACATGTCTGAAGATCAGGATAAAGAGTCTCTTTTGTGAGCAAAGTATGTATCTCTGGCCCTGTTGTAAGGGAAATTTAATGAAGAACATTCATTTGAAAAAAGCAAAGCTCACACTCCAGGGGAACAAAGCTCACACTCCAGGGGAACAGAGCTCACACTCCAGATGAACAGAGCTCCCAGTCCAGGGGAACAGAGCTCACACTCCAGGGGAACAAAGCTCACACTCCAGGGGAACAGAGCTCACACTCCAGATGAACAGAGCTCACACTCCAGGGGAAACAGAGCTCACACTCCAGGGGAACAGAGCTCACACTCCAGGGGAAACAGAGTTCACACTCCAGGGTAACAGAGCTCACACTCCAGGTTCCTACTTGACACTTGCCAGAGCAGCAGCCTTCACAGTGGTTGGCTGTGTTGTTTATAAACAGCAGATAATTTTAAAATTCAAGATGAACACATATCATGGTGCCCCCTTCCTTCAAGGAAACCCTGGGTGACCCCAAGACTGCAGAGTGGCTGAGAAAACACTGACCTAGAAAACAAATGTGTAACACGTCACATTTCTCCCATTCCTTAAGCTGTGGTATTAATTTTCATTCTTAATCTATCTGCTAAGTGTAAATCTATGAATCACTGAACTTCGTCCCTCCTACACCATAAATATTAAGACTTACAAAGAAGTTGAGTCCACACGTGATGAGCAAATACTTTCCTGTGGTTATTCACTCACAAGGGAGGGGGCATTTTTCTAAGCACCAGCAGAAACTTCAATGTCATTAAAAAAGCAGTATTATTTTCAAAGGAAAGTTATACTAATAAAAGAATCTTTTTTTTCAGATAATAATGTAATTACATTAGGCTTTCATACCTAAAAGCATGCAAACTAGATCTGGATCTAATAATAATAATAAAAAAAACAGCTCTGTTAAACTTCAGTACTATGTGAAGGCAATTAAAACAAATGTTTGATTCTGGCAGATGTCTGTTCCTAGCAATAGGGAACCATGCAGCAGAAATCCCACCTGAATTGTCTTCCTCAGGTCAAGTCATCACACTGCATCTAAGGCACATCGGAACTTGGGCACAGTGCCACAGAAGGGACGGAACACATGTCCTCTGTCCTTCCCCAGCAGCCTCTTCTTTGTCCGACCTAGACCAAGGAGCATGGAATAGTAGTCTGCCATCTCCATGAGGTGCCTACGCTGTCCAAAGCAGGGGCCTCTGTTTCGTTTCTCTCTGGGCGTTTGAAGTTGGAGGGGAGGGTACCCTGTGCACAGTAACTTCAGAAGATAGCCCGCATGCCTTGGTAGAGGGGGCAGAAATGCCAGTCAGTGTCTGAGGTGGGTGCACCCATATGTTTAAAAGCATCCACGTCCTCTTGGGACGGAGGTACGAAAGGAAAGGCTTCTTAGCCATGTGATTTCAACATCATTGCATCTTTGCTAACAGTTTTCCGCTCCCCTTTCTGCCCACCCTAGGGTGCCAGCCTCTGTGCTTTCAGTCAGAGGGACTATCATTTGCCGCTATTTCCTGGTGAAACTCGCTGACTTTTTTCAGAATCTCCCTGTTTCCTTTTGTTTATAGAGATTAGGTTGTCTCCCCTTCTTTGGTATACATTGCCAAGACTGTAGCCACTGTTCTCCCAGTGGATAGCAGTGGTGGTTAAAGCGCAAGCCAGTCCCCACCTTCTGTGTTTTATAATCCCAGAGTCAGAGCGCAGGCTGAAGATGCTGGTATAGTTCATTTAAACCATCACGGGACAAGTCAGAACTCTGAGATGACACTCAGCATTTATCGCAAAGGCACAGATTTTGCAACCAAATGGTTTCAGCAATTGAAGGGGGACCTACCAAAAAGGGTAACACAGACCTCAATTTCCTGTAAGTGGGGGGAAAGATCTTACCTGACTCATACAGTAAGGACAAGGGCAGTAAAGGGGAACTCTGGTAGCACCTCACTTGCTTCCTTTGCACATAAAGGAGGAAAGTGGGGAGGGTTTTCAACACGGCTTCAGACAGCTTCGTGCATTCTGGTGGTGCCCTCTGGTGGATGGATGGAGGGCTCAACTGACACCCCTTAATTTGGGGGCATTTGTTTCATCTACGGTGTGTATGTCCTTTGCTACCATACAGGACTTGCCCCTGTATCTTCTCCTCATCCCAGGAGTTTTCTGTGATAAGATGGACTACAACAAATGTCCCCGGTTCATGGTCTTTGGGGAACGTCTATGGTAAAGTCAGCCAAGGAGGAGAGCAGGTTTTTTACTGTTGCCTCAAAGTAGCCTGGTCGGTGTGGGTGCGATTTGGCTGTTGCGTGCAAGCATCGGCCTCCGTTATGTTTTTGTAAATGGTTCAAAGCTGTGGCCTGTGTCTCTGGCAAACTGCTTATGAGGAACAAAGGAGAAATAGGAATGTTTTTCATTTAAGAAGGCATGTGGTTCTTATTGCCTTCCTGAGATTAGGTTTTGTTTCTCGTCCCTTTTATTTTTAAAGTTAGTTTTCCACTGTGAGATGAAGTGATTTTCGTCGGAAATGTTGACAATATAGAGAGAGGGATCAGCTGCAGTAATTCCAAAGCGAGGACTGATTTGGGATGTAGCCAGTGGTGCAGGCTACTTCTTGGAATGTGCCTGGGAATTGAATGGGATGAGCTTGTTTACCTATCTGCAGCACAGCTGCTTCGCCTGATTTAAAGATACATCAACAACATTGCATTTATGCATTTTCTGACTCAAATTTGCAATGGTATGGTTGGAATACTAACTACAGAAGCTACCTAGTCATGTCAAAGCCTTACCTCAGCTGGTCCTCTTGTCTCCGGGGAGCATCCTTCAGACCATGGCTAGCCATTTGCCACAATCCCTGCCAGAGCCTGTTCAACTTCTCTGGTTCTTATCATACCAGGATTCGTTTGTGTAACAGTAATCAAATATAGCTTATTTGGTCCCCACCCCATAAAATCATACACAGCCTCCCCACCTAGTATCTGTGACTTCTTGGACGAGCAATGTACGGACTAGGTTCCAGATTATTCCTTTTATGTCAAAAAGAGGTCCTGAGGCCATAGGAAAACACAGAGGAAAGTATGCCGTCATCAGCTAGTGGTGCCTGGCACAGGCACAAATGGGGATGGTGTCGGTCCGCAGGCTCTCGTCAGATGTCACAAATATACATTTGCATGCATACTTTCTTTCAAGTATTTTGTTTTCTAAATCTGGCCTTTGAGTGCTGCATATTGGAAGCGGAGGCAGGAGGATAGTGAGTTTGGCGGTCGCCCGGGCTAGTAGCAAGATTCTGTCCAAAAATAAGTAAGTACATGAATAAAGAAACAAACACCTCTGCTATTAAAAGACTCTAAAAATGGGCTGGGGTTGTAACTCAGGGATCGTGCAACTGCTTAACATGTAGAGGGGTCTGTGTCAGTACACAGTGATAACATACCAAAACACATAGCTGAAAGTTCCCATGGCTGTTAGGAAACAAGCAGGAGTTAGTGAGATTTCTCAGGAGGCAAATGTTACGATAAATCTTTCTGCCAAAAGCCACCGAGCCCCATCGCCACATGTACGCTTTACGCAAGCTGCCCGCCCGAGTTAGACCCAAATGAATACACAGAAACTTGTATTAGGTTTAAAGCTGCTTGGCCAATGACTAGGATTCTCATCTGTTAGCTCAGTCTTAACTATCATAATCTATATATTTTATAAGACTTATCTTATCGGACGCCTTATTGGCGTCCCTCCTTGCCGGTGGATCACATTGTGCCACTGGAGCAGGAGCGGAGGGGAAAAGAGGGCCCTTCCTGTTTCTCCTTCACTTAAATATGAGTCTCCTTGTTATGTCACTTCCTGCCTGGATCAGCACTTCTCTACTACATTTCCCAGAATCCTCTTTGACTCCTAGTCCCGTCTACTTGCTGTCTCATTGGCCAAACAGTATTTTATTCAACAATCAATAAGATAAACATACACAGTACATTCCCCATCAGGCAAAGACACTTGTCACAGTCCTGACCACCTGAGTTCCATCCCAAGAACCCATGTATAAAAGAGCTGAGTCAGTTCTAGCCGGTTCTTCTCTGCCACAAAAATGCTGTGGTGGGTGTGCCTGTATGAGCATACACACACACACACTATAATAAAACATCTAAAATAACCAATGAGCAAATAAACAGTGCCCCTTGTCACAGTCGTTATTAGAAGCTAACATTACCAACTAAAAAAGTAACTGTCTATTAAAATGGGCACTGTAGTATACATCACATCTCAGCACTTGGGGGTTAGAAACAAGGGGATTGGGAGTTCAAGGCCAGACTTGACTGTGTGGTAAAATGAAGGGACGGCCTGGGTTTCAGAGTGAGACCCTATTTTGTTAAAAACAACAACAACAACAACAACAAAAAAACCCTAAAAACTAGAGGAAGGAGATGGCTAATGGCAGATAAAGCTGGCGTCCACAACACTGACGCTCATAACCTCAGGTCTCAATAGACATACTAACACAGGAGCTGCCGCTCAGAGCTCACGCCTGCAGACTACTGTTGCCCATCAGGTCTCACAGGTTGCTGTCCAGTTCTTCACTTTGACCTAGCAGAAATGACCAAAGCATTAGCTTCGGTTTAAAGGAAGTATCTGTTTTTCCCAAGCGGAAGGCAGTTCGGCGGTCGCTCTTCCTGGAGCAGCATAGTAAGACATGAGCTTGTTTAGTTGACCTGAAAATGCATCCAGATCTCAGCTTTCATTCATCTGCTCAGAGTGACGCTCTTCTCGTTTGCTGCTGAGTGACACCAAGCAGTTCCTCTCTCCCTCCCTATCTCCCTCCTTCCCTCCTTTCTGTCCCTCTCTCCCTCTGTCCCTCCTTCTCTCCCTTCCTTCCTTCCTTCCTTCATTTTGGGTTTAGATGTAAGTCTAGAAAGCAGACGTTCCAGGTTCTAGGGTCTCTTTCGGACACATTGTGCGTAGACATGTGGACACTTGTGGGAAAGGGTATCGTTTATTACAGGGGAGACACAGAGGGAGACACCTGAGGCCTGGCTCCAGGAGAGCAACAAGAGACAGAAGGGATGAAGCGAGGCCCCAGTGACTTTTTCTGCATCCTTCACAGAATTCTCACCTCTCCCAAGTCCCTGTGCTGCAGGATTTTCCAGGAGACGCTGCATTGGCTGAAGGAGGCTGGGGACTGGCGGGGGGGGGCCAGGCCCCCATCCTTCACCCCCCCCCCGCCTTTTGGCTTTTTTTGGGGCCTTTACTGTTTCCTGCCTCATTCTGGACCAGTGGGCACAACCGTACCTTTAGGCTGTATTTATGTATGTGTTATTTTATTTTGCACTTATGTACTTTGTATGTTTGTGTGTGTGCGCTCATGCCATGGTACACATGTCATCAGAGGTTTACCTATAGATATCATTCTTTCCTACTGTGTGGAGCCTGTGAACGAGCTCCGTTAGCCTTGGGAGCAAGCTCCTTTACTCGGTGACCCACTGCCATCCACAGAATATGGGTATTAAACCCAAATTCCAGTTTTTCTTGTCATTTATTAGTAGAAAGGGGATTTAATCTGTGTCATCACTCTCCTTAAACATAAGCCTTCAGAATCGCAGTGGTTAAAAATAACCCCACTCTCCCTCTCTGTATTTAAATTGCTTCAGCCTGGATTGACTGAAGATTGTTTCTACCTTCTGCCTCATTTGGCTCTTAAAGGTGCAATTTTAATGAGAGAACACTATAAAATGCTCTTTTTTTTCTGAAAACAAGTTTTACAATAGGCATTATGCCCACTATAGACACAGATTCTAATCACTTGGATTCATGATGCTAGAGTGTGGGTCACATAACTCTGTGAACCCAAGCCCAGCAGCCTCTCTGCTCACCAGTGTTTCATTCCAAGTTTACAGAGAGACAATGAAATCTTTCTTTTTTTTTTTTTCTAAATAATACCCGGCATTAAATGTCACCTGAGCTGAAATAAACATCACCTTAAACCAAAGAAAGAGAGAAGGGGAGAAGGAGGTTGAGGAGGGGAAAAAAGGAGAGGGGAGAGGGATGACGGTGATAGGGAGGGGGAGGGGAGAGAGAGAGAGCAGTTTCAAGTTTCAATAACTTAGTTTTAGAAACTGGACCCAAGATCTTTAAAATGATATGAAAAGGGCAGATTTAAGGGAGATACGGGCTTTCTATTTAAAAATATTTGAAGAAAACCCAAATTAAAAAAAAAAAAAAACTAAAGCAAAGGGTCACGCATGTAGTGTTCCTAAGGCATTTCCCGTCAAGTTCATCTGTCTGTGATTGGACTGTTTGCCAAAGCTTCGGCCAGGTCCTTAGAGTAAACAGGGCCAGGAAGCTGCCTGCTCAGAAATTCAACACCCAGGCTTCACCCCGCTCTTAGCCTGTGAGGCCCAGTCAAATGCAGCCCTTGCTTTGCACTTCAGAGAAAGAGGCCCATTCCACACTGTAAGGTTCTAATGCAATGGGAAGAGTCACACTGGGCCTTGTATACTGGCTTCACTAGAACAGTCTGGCCTTCCACTCACGAGACCAGACTTGCTTGATCCTAAAGCAGTGTGACCAGCTGCAGGCTACTAATTCAATCTGGGTGAGCATTGTGACCCTCGCTTTTGAAAGGGAAACAAACATTTGCATTACCTTGAAAGACAGAGAACGAGGAAAGGATATCATAAAACTTTTTACCCCAAGCAAACTGTCTGCAGATAAAACAGTAATTATTTAAATTATCCCAGGAAAATATCAGTCAAATAGCTCCATCTCAGTCAAGCCAGAAATCAAATAAAATGGTGTAATAAGATATAGGACTAGAATACCACAGCTCAGGGTGCCAAGGCCAATGAGTAGAGGCAGGAACTGAGGTTTCTGCCGCCATGCTTTCTTCAGTCAGCATCCTTAGAAAACAAAACATCTGCTTTGCATCTCATTTCCAGCCAGCAGACCCTGTAAAGAATGATGGGCTTGGTGAACAAAGGCAGCCAGTCAATGCCCAGTCACATGTCTGACACTTGTAGTGTCTGTGGCCCTCTTGTGATCACTCCGTCCACTCTTCCCTTGTCCTCTGGTCTGGGCTCAGGCTCCTGAGTACTTGCTGGTGTCAACCTTGTGCTCCTCCAGGACAAATGGCTGAGGGGGGGGCAAAGTAATATCAAACAACCCATCAACACTCTGTACACCCTTAGCTATTAGCAACATGTACCTGCAAATTCCTTTCTAGAATGTGGAGTAAGCACACATATTTCCTTATAATATAGAGCATGAAAAATGCCCATACCTGTTGTGTCTGTCCCTTACCATAATACATAATATATCTGTCCTAGTTAGAGTTTCTGTTACTATGATAAAGCACCATGACCAAAAACAACTTCCCCTTCCTCATTGCAGCCCTTCACTAAAGGAAGTCAGGGCAGGAACTCAAGGCAGGAAATTGAAGCCAGGATGTAAGAGACACAGAGGCCCTTGTGCTCACAGATAAGCACTAGGGGAACCGAGTGTTAACACATAGGTTGTTTCTTCAAGGGAAGGAATGTATGACCTGTTAAATGCCCAGAAGGCTGGGAGTGGATGTGGTTAATACTTTGAACCTTCAGATGCCAGCATGGCCTCAGGTATTTGCATATCCTTCGGTGGTAGTAGGAATCACAGACATGGATGCAGACCCTGGGTGCTGTAGGGCCGTGGACCCAGATATGGCCCTCGACAGCAGCTTGGGCCCAGACAACACCATGACCCTGGGTGGCAGTCAGGCTGGCATGGCCCTACAGTGGCATATCATCACTTGGACCCCAACATGACCACGGGTGGCCTTTGGTGGCAACACTGGCCATGGACATCAACACAGACCCCAGCCTAGGTAGGACCATGGACCCAGACATGGCCCTAGGCTGCATGCGGCTTAGGCTAGAATGATACCTTGGTCCTGGGTGGTAGCACAAGGCACTCAGATCTACATGGCTGTGGCAGCAGAATGGCCCTTGGACACCAACATGGCTCCCTTATGCAGTTCCCCTCCTATTCCAGGCAGGTGGCTCAGTCTAAGGGAGGAACACAAGACACCATCACCGTTTCTCTCTGACTGTGCTTCCTTCCTGGTCTAGCGTGTTTATCCCAGGCCTCCAAGTATGAAGGGTCCAGACACAGAGAGAGCACAGAGGTCTCACTAGAATCTGGCTGTCAGTGCACCTGATACTTTCTCTTCCCTTTCATATTTGAGCTCGGGGTGTAGAAGTCAAGGTCTCATGTCAAGAGGAAAGAGAAAAGTGGAGGAAAAGCTACAGAACTCTTTAGTTGAAAAGGTCTCACCTCCCTTCTGTAACCTCCACTCATTTTATTCTAGTCTTGTTTCCACGGCAGTGGGCACTTATCCTGTATTTGGTACCAGTGAATAATAGCTAGAGAGATCATTAGGTTTGGATGGATTCAGTCTTATGGTTGAATAAGATAATTGGCAATGCATGTTTAAAATGAGAACTGACTATTGTAATTTAAGAAAAGCAGTGCACGAAAGACTCCACGAGACAGGGTTCAAGCAGAGTTTTTTTTTTTTTTAATTTTTATTAGGGAAAGGGATCCTAAAAAGGAGAAAGGGGAGCGGGGAAACCAGCCTCGAGAATGAGAGCAACAGGAAAGAGGAAAGGGGAGAGATAAGGAAGAGGGGGGAACAGACAGACAGAGAGAGA